GGCTTAAGCAAGGCGGCGACATCGGGTGGTCCGGGTGAAGCTTCTGCTGTGGAGTTTCTGTGGAATTTTCTAAACGGCATCTCAAGGCTTTAGACTAGAATTTCGCCGCATTCTCCGCGGTGACCTGGGCCAGGCGACTCCGCCGAGCAACTTCACCAAAAACTCTGTCCCAACTTTCGCCGCTGAACTTCGTCACGAAGCTGCGACACCGACTCTACCATGTTATGATCCTCTCACCGTGAAGAAACACGCCAAGATCGAAGAAACCCGCAGCTTACCTGGAGGTTTCTTTTCAGCAGAGCATCCCAACGACTTCGGTCACAAGCAATACAAATGCCCAAGATGATGTTCACATCACCCTCTCCTGCCACGGAATCTGAAAAAAAAACAAAAAATTCACGCTCAGCAGGAAAGGGGACATTACATTTTGCCTGTGCCGTTTCTTCGTCCGCCGCCGCTGCTTGCTGTTACATTCTGGGCATTTTCTGCCAGGTGCACTCTGAGACTCTCCGGCAAACATCTGCAAAAAGCATAAAGCCTCAACGAGCCCAGGACGCTACTGCCCCTCCGGCAACCTGCTGCAACTGTCACAACCTGCCCCGACAACAGCCGAAGCCAAGCAGGCGAAAACCGCAGAAGTCCTTCTTGCCCGCAGCAACCCGGACCCCCGGACCACCCGACACGTCCAGACCTAGTTGGGCTTGGACCATGCTCCAATGCCTCAGAGCTTTCAAGCTTCGATCTCTCGCTGCTCTGAAGTCTTGCTAGGCGGGTCTTGCAGTCTTCAACATCCTCTCGGATATCTGTGCAACCGACCGAATGCCTATCGTGCTGACGAGACAAGGCCGCGTGAGAAACGCTCATGCAATTCGATGTTAAAGGCTCTCCACCCTCAACCTGGCCGTTCTACAGCAAACACACTTCAGTTCACATTTGAGCCAGGATGCACATTCTCCGATGCCAGACGTCTCACGCCCAAAGACTGAAGGTCCTGACGGAATTTCATCAGCCTCGGTCCGTCGGCAGTGCCGCTGGGAAAGGGTTTTGGGACCCTTTTCAGGGATGGATTGGCCTTCGGCCGATCCGTCAGGACCTTAGCCGCCTTACATAGCCTTTCTCGACCAGCAACGAACATCCAAACACGCCTCTGAACCTGAACCAGCTGAAGAAACCTACAACTTACCGCCCACAATCAACAACGCAAACAGAAGATCAAAGAAGGCCGCGGCTGTCGATACTTCGCGAAGAGAACAAACTCTTTTTCAGCTTGCTCCACGAGCATCCGGCCTTGTCGTGTGCTGAGTGCGCTTGCAAAACCATGCAGCTGCTACATACAGGCGTTGGACTGGATATGGAACCTTAAATTGAGCCAGAAGCCTTACGATTTGTGAAAGAGACATCGACCCCACCTTTTGCAGTGCAATGCTGAAGCCTAATGACCTAAGCTCTCACGGTTTTAGTAAGAGAGTCTGCTCCCACTGCCGCCCCAAGCGCCTTGCCTTCAATTTGCAAGAAAGCCCTCTTGCCAGGATTCCAATCCGCCAGTACTGCCCCCTTGTAAACATGCGGCAGACTAGGCTACCGACAACAACCATCCGCCAAAAGGAGACTTGAAGGCTTCGTGCCAGCAACTACAGACATCATCAACACTAGTGAATAGTGACGCTAGTGTTTCGAGCTGTCTCCAGTTTCTCTTCGCCAATACATGACGCTGCTTCAATTCCAGGGGCGCGCAGTGTCCTTCTGCAATAGCTTCTGAAGCCTCTCCTGACAGGCTGACAGGAACGAGGAAGGCCTCGGGAAAGGTACCGACAACAAATTAGCACTTGAGCTTTGGCGAATCGAAGCCGATGGTGTCCCGGATGCCAAAAGCCAAGCAGTGTCTCGCTACGAGATGCTACGAGCACGCCTCGTACTCCTTGTCTGCACGGCGGGCGCGAAGAAGGAGGCCAATGGCCGCCACGATGGTAACCTTAGAAAACAGCTTGGGGGCTCCCGCAACAAGCCTTTCGCCAACTGTAGGCCTTCGGCCGGAGGTGGGTTTGGAGTAGCAGAATTTCAATCTCATTGCTTCGTCTTTGCACACAGGATAGCTTCGAGCTGGGTTCTGAGCTGATGCCCAGCCGTGAGCAGTAGTGGAGAAGATGAGCTTCGAGTTAGCTTCTTCAAGAAGGTAAGCTGAATGCTTCAAAATTTGGACCTTGTAGCAGGTAGCATTAATAAGCGGCCATCTCATCTGCCACCCCGAATCCGGGAAAGATGAGTCTGCCGCAGGGCTTGACCCGAAAAAGATAGCACAAAACCTAGACCCAGGCATGAAGTATGAAGTTGGTGCATCCTTGGTGCGGCATTTCCTTGCACTCCCCTGCTTCCGGGCAAAGGGGCCCAGGTGGTGATGGCCGGCCATCGGATGATCCAGTCCCTTGGCTTTGGCTTTGTTAAAGAAAGATTCGTTCATCGGTGCCTACATGCTTTAAACTTAAAGCGATTGATTGGGGAC